GGTAGCAAGCACTACCCGAGTTCAATCTCCTCTTAATTTCCTCCTGAATCAGGTTTCGATCTGTTATCGTTGTTCCCAAATATCTGAACTGTGCCACATTTTCAGAACATCTGTTTCCTATCTTTATGTCATGATTTTTCCCTGTATTTTGGTGACGAGACAGTAACAGGTACTTAGTATTCTCTGTGTTTACTTCTACACCAACCTCTTTAATTTCGTCAATTAAAGTTTGTGTGTTTTTCTTTATGGTATCTATATTATCACCCAGTAGATTCACATCATCGGCGTAGACCAATAGCTGATGTGTCCCATTTAATTTCAGTCCCACCTGGTTTCCCTGGACCTTCCTAATTGCATATTCTAAGGCAAAGTTGAAAAGGAGTGGCGATAAAGCATCTCCTTGTTTTAGACCATTTTGGATAGGAAATTTATCAGACAAATATTTGCCTACACGGACTACAGACACACGGTATAAAATCATCAGACAATCGATATACATTTCTCTCAGCCAGCATGTTGTTATTTTCCATCAAGAACAGCAAGTGAGATAGATATTAGCGTTTAATTTCGCGGTCATGTATGAAGACCCAGTGGCTTTTCATTCCTGAAAGATAGGGCTGTCCAGAATTTTTCTAAAATTGACAAATTTAATTTTTCCCATATTATTTTGCAAATGAATCACTGTGCAGATGGAACACACATTGAACCCGCGAGGTAAACGGAATCCTGACGATTGTTTCACATAGGACTGCATCAACTTAATAGTTCTGCCAAATGCTACGAGAAAATTCCAGCCCATTTATTAAATTTTAATTTCTCGCACTTCGAAAAGTCTGATATTTTGAGATTCTAACGGAAGTTATTATTAATATTAAAACCATCCACAATGTTGCGCCGCATAGTTTTGTCGATACATTGCAATACTTTAGATGACCAAGCTGTGTCTTTCTTCAGTGCCTAAGTGACCCTCACACTCGACCATACAGAAGCAGACAGCAGGTTCTTCTGAAATATTGATGCCTATCTAACACGGCAACACGTCTCAGAAAACAATAATTTTCAACGTTTCTGGCCCGGAAATGAATAGTTTAAGAGAAATGAAACTGTCGGTACTGTTGAACACGAATCTGTGCCATGTTTGTTGAGCCCACGAGGCTAGAAGTATCAAAATATTTTACTGCAACAGCAATGTGAGGCAGATGTGTTGTACGGGATAATCGAACGTAGCGCGAATTTGGAACAGGGTAAACCTAATTATAGAAGTAAAACATTAGTTCGTGGACTTTATCCATCGTCCTCCTTTATCTGAAACTCCGTCCAGCTTTTATTTAAAAACACAAACATCTCGGAGACTGGATTCTGTCTCCCGACTGGAGATTAACTGTACAGTACACTGTACACTGTACATACGAGCAACACGCAAGATCCACACACATTGTAAAAAATGTATTATACTAGGTAAGCTGTACCAACTTTGTCACTTGAACAATACATGCCGGCATTAGGAACAGTACGTAATATCTCGAGGGCACGCGGTAGTGTAGTTGGTTGAGGCACTATGCTTACAAGCCGGAAGATCGCGGGTTCGTGGGCCGATGAAGTGGATTATTTTCAATTTACCTTATCATTCCAGCCGCACTATGGCCCAGGGGTGGGCTCAGCCTCTTAACAGAATTGAGTACCAGGATTCTTCATGGGGAGTAAAGGGCGGCCGTCTCGCCTTACCGCCATCTGTGAGCCGATTATCTGGTAATTGTGGGAGCCTCGAAGTCCCACAAGCCTATTGGCTTTCACGTCCTGTTATATGGATAGCTTTGCTTTTACCCCTAATATGTTTCTCTTTCTTATTAACAACTTTGAACTGTACAGTGAAATATCTCTGTCTCAAAAACCGCTTAGAATAGGACACATGTACGTATACAACTTCTTGCTTATAATGACCCATATTTGGACTTCCAGAATACTGAAATTTCCCCCTGGGACACTCTGTATACAGTGTGACTAGCTTGGCTAAAGTAGACTTTCATGTGCAATAATTTGACAGTAAGAAAATACACCAAAGGAAGCAAAGATGAAATGGTTAATTTAGTAACATTCCTCGCTAGAGAATACTGCATTCCCCTCAGATTGAAATGTAATATAAGATTTAAATTTAAACTAATTGAATGATATGAGAACATCCTAACCCTATATCTGGACAACACTAACAACATGACCGCACATCAGTGCCGTCTCTCATGGAATACTGTTACTTCAATTGTCACACAGTTTGGTTAATGACCAGTATCAGAACCAGACAGAAAAATAATGTTCTTGTATGCATCTTCTCTCCGCAGGAAACTGACGCGATTTCATTATGGCGGTCAGCTGGAAATCATGTATATGCTTGCCACCGAAAACGGCTACTCTTTTGATTGCCATGTACTACATCGTAAGTAATTGGTGTGTTATTAACTTCCGTCCACAGCACACAGTATTGCCACATCACATGCATGTGTGTTGTCAAGGGACTCCACGTGCATGACAGCTAGAAGCCAGAGTAAGGGGACAATTATGCCTTTATATTGATCAGCGTGGCATGTCCGGAACAAGAAGGAGCTATATTGCTACACGAGTTCCTATCGGAGACACCTGCCCGTTACTCTTAAGAACTAACGAAAGAACGTGTTAGTAATTGACGCCTGTGGTAGGCTGCTTTAGATAAATTCAAACAAAAATAATGACTTTATAAAGAGAGATTTTATTTGTCTTTCAATTTATATATGGAATAGGTTGTGAGGATGTTGATTGGGTTCGTATGGCATAAGATAGAAACATGTTTGTGGGCTCCTATGAACACTTTTTGAGAGTTTTCAGTTCTTTGAACACAATTTCCTATGTTGCATCCAAAATCTTAACGCACTAACTTCCATTGATGACAGAACTGAAATTCTCAGAGGAATGCTTAAGAAGAGTTCTATCTTCGGATATATAACGATATGTAGTCTGTTGAAAGCCAACCGACGTTTCGGAGAAACATATCTCCATCTTCAGGGTCCAAGTACAAGCCAAGCAGAAACCAGCATGAACCAGATAAAAAGTAATGTTCTGATATTAGTAGTAAGTTATGTATAATGAAATCTCTTTGAAGAAAAGTATTTAAATTAAAGAAATCCAGTAAATGAGACAATGAAAGAACGTCTGTAGTATGAAACTTCCCGAATTTATAAGCCACAATCTGACGTGGAGGAGCAGACTTCTCTGTAGCCCCTCAGTATATGTCAACTCCGGAAATTTCATCTCCAAAAAGAAAAGCCTGCTATCTGCTTGTTGATTTCCTGTTTCGCTTATTCTTTGACCCTTGGGGTGGAGGCGATAGATTCCTTCGAAATGTCAGTTCACTTTCAACAAACTATTTCCCAGAAGACAGAAATCATCATAACTTCCATAAACATTCTCTACACGTCTTGCACCAGAGCACTAATTGTGTGTAGTGTCCAAATTAATGACAGTGATTGCTCGATAAGGGGAACATGGGTGGGTCAATAGCTACCCAAATTAGCGTTACATTTCACAGAGAACACGTACACTTGCATGTGTTGTATTCGATGTTGGATATGGTGCGGTTGCTTGTCGTCACGAGGTTGGGGAAGGGATTGCATATAAACTCTCCCGTTATCGATAAACTACAAGGATTTCAAACATTAATACCCGAAGCCAGTGAGAACTGGAAGAGAAAAGACTATTATTGAGGAATGTTACTGATAGCAACTTTATATTAAAAATTCCTCTTTCAAGTTTACTCCTTACGCAGACCAAGTTACTGGGGGAATCAATTTCAGTGTTTCGTGGAAGCAGCTACTCTCTAAGTGACAGGCTACCAAGGAAGAAAGATTCGTGTATCTAATGCATCTTCCCCAGAGAGAAAAAGAATTTATAATAAGTAGGGCTGCGTGATAGCTCCAGTAAACAAACTGTTGTAATGTAAAAGTTGCATATTAATTTCTTTACATGATTTTAAATTTAAGGATGTGCTTTTAAATAATGTATTTAAAAATTTGTTTACTTGTGCGATGAGTGTGGGACCATTCAAAGGGGTTCAAATTGAAGATCTGTAAGTTACAGTAAATTTAGGCAAAATTATCTCTGTGCTTAATAAATTACGCACTATGCGATAAAGGCATATGGAGGAGTGTATAGTTTCACCATTCTTGACCTCAGCACTAGAAGGAGAAGAGAAATCAGCTTCACACTCCGACCACTTGATCCCTGGGGAAATAATTCGCAGTATCCTTTGGACAAGAGGTTATACGTGAGCCCCAGAATCGGCTTGGACGCTGTAAAGAAGAGAAAAATTGTGCACCTGCTGGGAATCGAATACCGGCCTTCCAGCTCATAACCCGTCTCTATACCGACTGAGCTATCCCCACTAGTAAATTACTGTAATTATGACTGATATAAATTTTGTGTCTTTCCTACATCAGCTCTATAGTATTTATATAAGGTATGTCATGTTTACGATCGCTTTGTGATAATATAAATATCATTATCAAATAAATTTTGTTTCTCTCAATTTATGGGTAATTTTTGAGTGTCAATGACTAGACAATATATAATTGAAAAGTAGGATAATAGATGAATTGGGAAGGATTTAGAGAAAAGTGATCATGCATTAGTAGAGGTACTATCCCAGAACTTCCTTTGACGGACTGAGAAATGTCATTAAAAACGTCAGGATAGTCTGCGTCCCGGTCGAGATTCGAACGGAGTACCTTCCCGTCCCCAACAACATGTGTCCATGGCATATTCTTGCATGGTATTTCTTTGAGATCCAGTTTAATATTTTTTCCCCCATTCACAATTTTGTGTCCCAAGTAATCTGTTTCGATGTACGGATCGAAGATTGGATTGGAATGGGGAAGTCGAGAAGTAGCAGCTGTTTAATGTAGTTAGTTTCGGCTGGAGTCCAACTGGGTCCACTCGGCATGGCGGCCACTGATTGGCCTATTGTAGTCTGCCCTGGATAATTATGATGATGGAGAATTTGGTGGAATGAAGATTGGCAGGGGAAACCGAAGTACTCGGAGAAAACCTGCCCCAGCGCCACTTTTTCCACCACATATCCCACTTGACCAGACCTGGGATTGAACTCGGGCCGCCGCGGTGGAAAGCCAGCGACTAACCGCTTGAGCTATGGCGCGGCCCTGTCTAATATAGTTGGTCTGATTATGATAAACTAACACTTCGGTTCTTTTGTTATTAAAATACCTTAATTTCATTTCGGATGATATAATTGACGTCCGGCCGGTCACAGTTGCCGCGCGGTCTAAGGTATGAAATGTCTTCGCTCGGTAGCTGGGATCACGGGTTCGAATCCGACTCAGGGCATGGATGTTTTGTGTGTGTTTGCGTTTATTATGTGTTTGTGTTGTCCTGTGTGTAGGTAGCGGCCTTGCGACGGGCTAATCACTCGCCCAAGGAGTCCTACCATATATGAAAGAAATTATTACGGAACTGAATGAGAGGCCTGGACTCTGAGTGGGCGGAAGAGCCACTGAAAAGAAAAAATTGAAGTTCAAGTTTCTTTCTCCACCAACCATATTTCGATAAATAGACGAGGCAAGATTTACACGAAATCTGCAATTAAACGTGGAAAATGAGATAACAATCGTTACTTTGCAGAACTGCAATCTATTTCTATCTGAATGTACTTATTGGGTTCGGTAACTTAAATGATTCACTTTGTCTTATTTCAGATACTTTCTGTTACTGTAACAATTTTCGCAAGCATTGGCTACAGTGTCCTAACACCGATAAATATGATGAAAACAGAAAAGGGAAGAAAAGAAGCCAGCGAAGGGGATGAAGTACTTCTGGAGGGCATAACATGTTCGTACTCCAATTCCTGTCCAATTTGTGACATAATTAGAGACTATGATGATAAAAATTAAGATTCTAAAATTGTCATCCGATGAAATAATAATAACGTAGGGATATATAAAATAATACTTGGAATTTAATTTTATTACTTTCTGCTATGTGATACTGGGTAATCCGATACAAGTTCACGGAGGTTTCGGAGGAAATTACTTCCTCCATCTTCAGGAAACAAGAACCAAACACTCAGAATTACTGGGTTTTTGGACGTTGTCCATCGCCCGGTATTCCAAAAACTAAATAATATGTTTCGGAAACTGAATTTTTTTCCTTCATCAGGAGAATGGATGAGAGACACACACGGAGACACATCCAGATTCTGAACCATATTAAGTTTCTTTTGAATACCGGGAGATGGACGAAGTCCAAAAACCTCGTAATTCCAAGTGTTAAGGCGAGGGCACGCAAGGAAACTGGCAACCGCAACTGTTATCAGCCTGAGTTGAACACATGTTACTGAATAGAGCAGCGCAAACTGAGGAAACGTCAAAGCAGTTTCTTCACTTTTCGCTGCTCCATTCAGTAACATGTGTTCAACCCAGGCTTTTAACAGTTCTCGGAAATTTCCGTTGCCTTGCGGTTGCCAGTTTCCTTGGCGTATCCTCGCCCTTGTACGCCATAGTTAGAAACCTTAAAGTCTTCCAGAAACAATCAGAAAAAAGAGCCGCATCCCTGAAAGAACTGTCTTTTCTTTTCCTTCAGGGCGTACATAAGGGGCTCCAATGAACTGCTCAAAGGGGACCTGTCTTTCAAATAAGTTCCACTTTTCTCTTTACAGCTGCTAAGATTCTGCTAGTTACTCTCATCCTGACCAGCGTTCTCTGCTTCCTGGCAAACATAATGATGATTGTTGGAGTCACACAGGTCAGTATAATATCTGCGCTCGCCTTGCCATACATGCAGCAGTCAGTCGCCGGCTTCCCGTCTCTGTAATCTCAGGTCTTGTCGGTTTTATGGTGGATGAAGGGGCACTGGGACTGATTTTCTCCAAGCACCTAGGCTTTCGCTGCCAATTCCTGTTTCGCAACTTTTCCACTTCCACGGATCATGAAATATCAAACGCAAAATCTTACATCTGTTAAAATGTCAGAATAAACGCTGACAAAGATCCATACCTGGTGTGGGACTCGAACCCACAACCGTAGTATTTGAGCGGACGAAGACTGTTCGTAACTTAGACCGCGCGGTCACTGTGACCGGCAGGGACAACTTTACCTTTATTTTCTGAAGTAGAGATAGGGGAGTAATTTTAATACTTATCTTGTATGCTGTGAACATGTGAAAATTGTGATTTTTACTTCTTTGTAGCTTTTTAATGTATAAAATTCTCATAGCAGACAAGTGTGAGACACGTTTCAATGTCTGCCTTTTGTTGTTACAGGATAAGGCACAGTGGATATACCTGTGGATTAATGCGCATGTCTTCATTCTTGGGGCACACATCTTGGTTTGCTTCTGCAATATGTTCCTGGAGTTGCCAGATGAACTGCAGAAGAAATGCTCCATTTATGGAACCGTCGCGAACATCAGTAAGTCGGGAACGTCTTCTGAATATTATATACCTGTTCAGTCCGTACCTCACAGGAAATACATTTCGTCTCCTCTACGAAGACCAACCGGTTACTGCTGTTTAGGGAAACAATCTCTGTTTATTCCATGAACCATAAGAAGCACACAAAGACACTGTGTGGGTAGAATGCAGAGTTTATTTAGTATGTTAAGGCAGGTGGTGCATGTAGTAGCCGCTGGGCTTTACAGCCTTAAAATACATTTAAAATATAAATTCCTGGTTTACACGGTTTGGAATTACATGAATCCATAGATGCACGGAGAAACAAATACAGTTTTCCTTTTATGTAAACAGTCTATGCACTTTTACTTCTACGGTCATTGGTACTGGACACATAGGGTTTATGTATTGTAATATATTTTAATATGGTTTTTAGTCATGCGTTGTATTATACATACATTTACTCATATAAATTTAAGTATCCATTGAAGTGAACGTAAGAGTAATAAAAAATTTATGCAAAGAAATAATAGCCTACTTTCCTTTGACATGACACGGACTTCATAGAGAATGACGAGTTCAACACCACTTCTGTTGTTGCATGTGTATTAATTGCCGGGGTAACGTTTTCGCCGAGCAGTTGCCTAGCAACGATAAGGGTATATACATACAGACACGCAGACCGACGGGGTAGATTTATGAAGTACGCCGTTGAGATGAGCTCAGACGTCATGGTATACAGACCAAGTTTCATAAACAGTAGTTCAGGCATTCAGAAGTTGATAACTTTTGGGTAGTTTTATGTTTCCAACACAACGGAAGTAGGCTGAAAGTGTGACGTATTTAAGCATTGTTGGTCTTACACGGTTTTTAGCTTACACGGAAACGTTCAGAAGGAAATAACCTGGTAAATTTTGGTCTTACCGTAAACCTATAGTAGGAGTCATACAGACAGGCATCTGTTTCGTACAATTTCAAAATGATCTGAGACGTGGAGATATTTTGTCTGCACCTGAAAAAATAATGACTCAGTTTTTGACGGCAGTGAATTATAAGATTATGGTCTTAGCGGGTGTGACGCTGTATATTCTTTTAGATAACCAACGTTTCGGAGGAATCTGCTGCCTCTATCTTCAGGGCAGAAAATTGAAGTCCCATCTAACTTCTTTTTCTCCTACAAATGTGGCCTTTGTGTACAGTTCAATCCCAGTGATCTGAAATAACTAAAGTACCTGTGTGCTTAGATTATCGAATCGTTCAAACTACTGGATTCCTTATAAAAACATCAGATGTTTTGGTAAAATTATATATTCAGGAGCTATACAGAAACTTTTGTACACAAACAACAAGAAATTTATTAAATACTATATCCTTCTTTATTGTATTAATGAATTATTTAACAGTGTTGCATCTTTCATTACCTAGAGAGGCAAAATTCCAAAATGTAATTCATTTTTACTGCAAGGAAGTGAAACAATGAGGTTAGATTTGTAACTTTTGAGATTGACAACTATTTATATGGTAATGTGAGTCAGTTCGGCTTAACGTGAGTTCTAATTACCGAGATTCCTCTATATTTAATATTATGAACCACAGTTTGTAATACTCATTATATGGTTTACTCCACCATACAAACTTGTCAATTACTATTCTCTTGGGCGCTGAGTGAAATTTCGTCTCGAAATGTAGCAGGTTACACTTAAAGGTATACTATATTACATCCTTCTTAAAGATACTGATTTCCGTTCTTCTGCAGTCACTTTCAGCTACAAGAAATGTGGTACAAATGGTTTCTTTCTGGGCCTTGCGTTGCTCCCAGTATATTTGAACTTCTTCGCCTCTTCTAACACACAAAAAAAATATTAAAATGTGCCCCTCTACTTATATATTTACAGTAAACCTTCGCTAATCCAAGTCAAATGGGGAGAAACGCCATCCGGATTAAGCGATAAGCTGGATAAGTGAAGCAAAATGTATTACAAAAAAGCAAAATAACTTATAACATAAATAAATGGAAAATGGANGTGTGCTTAGATTATCGAATCGTTCAAACTACTGGATTCCTTATAAAAACATCAGATGTTTTGGTAAAATTATATATTCAGGAGCTATACAGAAACTTTTGTACACAAACAACAAGAAATTTATAAAATACTATATCCTTCTTTATTGTATTAATGAATTATTTAACAGTGTTACATCTTTCATTACCTGGAGAGGCAAAATTCCGAAATATAATTCATTTTTACTGCAAGGAAGTAAAACAGTGAGGTTAGATTTGTAACTTTTGAGACTGACGGCTATTTATATGGTAATGTGAGTCAGTTCGGCTTAACGTGAGTTCTAATTACCGAGATTCCTCTATATTTAATATTATGAACCACAGTTTGTAATACTCATTATATAGTTTACTCTACCATACAAACTTGTCAGCTACTATTCTCTTGGGCGCTGAGTGAAATTTCGTCTCGAAAGATATGTAGCAGGTTACACTTAAAGGTATACTATATTACATCTTTCTTAAAGATACTGATTTCCGTTCTTCTGCAGTCCCTTTCAGCTACAAGAAATGTGGTACAAATGGTTTCTTTCTGGGCCTTGCGTTGCTCCCAGTATATTTGAACTTCTTCGCCTCTTCTAACACACAAAAAAAA